CGCTTCGAGAACCAGTTCAGAAAGTGGCGGGTTCAGCTCAGAAAATCGCGTTCTCGTTAAGGCTTTGTTGGGAAAGTCAGACTCCATGGCTTCAGAGCTCTCACAGGGCTGCTTGTTCGCGCCCTGATGGAGCAGGAGACTAATGCCGTTCTTGCCTTCGGTTGATTTTGCTGCTATGTCTCTCGCTCGCTAGGGTTTTCAAAATTACACCTTGTCACGCAAGTAATGAAAAATAACATAAACGGCCCTCTTCATTGACAAAGCTCCGTGCGATTATATAAAAAGAAATGGTGTACAAAAACTTTCTAATAAAATCAAAATTTTTCTTTACAATGCTTGAACTACTATTTATTTATTTAAAAAACCACTACTATGGATAGTTAAAAATTAAAAGTGTAAACATCAATGTATTTTTTTTGGGTCAAATAAACGCCAATGTATTTTACTACTCACATCAATGTTGAATTAGATTTTTTTTTCCCATGGCATTAGATATTCTTTAACGTATATGGTGGCCTTTTTCTATTAAAAAAAAGGGAGACACGCGTATATTCTTCACATATATTCCAATACTACTTAAATTTGCAACTGGATGTTGAAAGGTGTAATTGTTTAAAATAAATCTACAATTGCTAGTCTTTAAAACAAAAATTAATATAGGAGTTTTGAGAACCATTTCTCATGTATGAATATTCTAGATTTATAAAACCATATAGATGCCACCAGATTCAAGTTTCATCATGCCGTCTCCCCTGTAATCATTTGTCTGGACAAGTTTAATCATCTTGGGAAGGTCCGAGGATTATATTAGCTCTGAGAAAAACTGAGACGGCGTATATAAGTTGCAAGGGTTTCTTCCCACAAACAAAAATAGCATAGGGACTAAATTATAAATTGCTGCCCAGTGTTGGGCTTTCGTGTTTAATTTTTCATAAAAATTCCTACACGAGTTTGCAAACGCGAGCACATGGCCCGTGAGATATCCTGAACCAACTGTGAATGATAAAACGGACCGTTACAGAAAAGCCCGATAATAGTCCCCACTGGATCTGGGGAAAAGACCAGCAATATACTTCCAAATGTTTAATTTCGCCAAAAACCCAAAAGAGTTAATTGTGGCTTCTTGTCTCATTAATCATGGGCTTGTCTCATTAATCATGGGCTACGGTCTAGTAAAAAGAGTTTATCTCTCACAATACGACGAAATCAAAGTTCAAATCTTATTCAGAAGAGATGCCAATATTTGGTACCTAATAATGTCTCAAATAAAATTGCCTCTAATAGAAGGATATTTATATTTTTAAGGGAAAAAAAGGGTTAGTCCTCACAATATACTCCTCTGGTCCTTAATATAGGACTCAATTGTTGAGTTGGTTTTGGTCCTAAATATAAGAACCATTTCTCATATTTATCAATTTTCTCTAAATTACCCCTATGGATACTACATCAACCATAATCAAATAGAAGAGGGAGATGGGGTATTAAGAAAGATGATTATGGTATTTTAGAAAAAATGTGTCACTTTTCTTATAATTAACCAACTTATCTAACTTCCTTAATCTAATCAAATTAGTTAAATGGGTCTTATATTAAGGACCAGAGGAGTAACGAAATTGAATTTGAATTTTTGTTAAGAGGAATATCTATATTTAGTACCCGGTAATACTTTAAAAAAAGTTGTTTTTAGTAAGAGAATAACTGTGATAGCAACCAAAAAAAACCAAGTTATCAGGTCCATATTTTAGTAGTGTTTTTTTTTTCGATGACATTTTAGTAGTTATTTTTTATAACAATAGGTAGAGGGAGTATATTGACTTGAAAGTTAAATATGCCGATAGCATGTTTCATCAACCTCACAGGTAAAGGGGACATGGAAGTTGCCAAAGAGATGGACTCCTCAATTTCTCTGCGGCGCATAGGCCAACTAACAGATTGAAGCAAGTAACACATATGAACGTAGATCACTTCCAAAATTAACTCAAATATAAGCAGTCAAATGGATTGATTATGGATTAGGAATCTCGGTTAGTTGGAGAAAAATCATTAATTAATTGGAATTTAGTTGATCAATCATGGTCCAGCGCGAATGTCCAGCACATAATCCGCCAATGACACTAAAGTCCACATGAGTAAGTTGCACATGAAAGCTAAATGCGACCTAATACATTTTTCACCTGCCACGTACCTAAACTCCAAATCCTTTTTTTTTAAAATAATAATAATAATAATAATATTATTATTATTAACACCAAACTTAGACTTTTTATTTTCTTTTTAACACCAACAAGATTTTGGAGAGATTGGATTCTATGAGTGCAAAGCTTTTTCTGCGACTATTATAAACATGGATTGAGCCGAGTTAAAGTTGAATTATAATCACAAGTGCAGAGCCTTTTCAGCAGTAATTGTTTTTTTTTGTATATACATATAAACCCTTTTCGTTTTGTTTTGGCCAAAAAACCCTTTTTATGTTTTTAAATTACAATAAAACATCCTCGAATTTTACGCTAACCCCATGTTCTCACCACGCACTGTTGTAACTCACATCCTCCAACCCTGCTTTCCAGGTTGCATGGTTTTATCTGTTTTTATATTATTTTGTTTTTTAAATTCTAATTCTGCCAGCGTTACAGATAGATTATTCCAGACCAATGAGTGGAATGCAGAAGGATGCCTGAAGGTAGTGGAAAATGTCTGCCCATTTTATAAACAATAATCTAAACATTCCTTCTAATTCTTAATGTTACCTCTAATCCTGATTATAAGATATTGTTTATAAACTATAAAAGAAATCTTATAATTAGGATGGGAGGTAATACTAATATAAGAATTAAATACCTAATTTGTGTATATTAAAAAATTAGTTAAATAAGAAGGATGCCTGATTTTTTTATGTTATCCTTTTTAAATATGCACGTTGTAATTAACCTTCACAAAAAACTTTATTATATGAAATTAATAGGGATATTAAAAAATCTAAATTTAGGAATCAAAATAGATTGAGATTTTATGTTTGAGATGAACACGAATTGCTATATGATCAGTTTAACAATAATCCCCATTCATTTTCAATTTTTTTTTTTTCGTTTCAAAAAATAGCTTGCGCGGAAGGCAAATGAGGCACTTGATTAAAAAAATTAGGGGGAATCACTTACCTAATAAATCACATGCATCAAACCACCTCAATTATATAGGGCCATGTTCATGCCTGATGCAAGGAAATACTTGTATATTTGCTGTGATTATTTTAATGAGAATAATTACGTTATACTCCACAAACAAGAGTTAATGTGAATCAGAATAAAAAGATTAAATTTGTCCGGTCAAAGATAATAAGTTGGGAAATTTGGTACAAAATTCCTGTTTAAAAATTTAACTAGTTAAAAAGATTTAAATTTGAGAGCATGCAACTATATGATCCGTAAGTATAACTTTTTTATCCATTTTATACAACATATCTTTCACCGTGTGTAAATGATTTTTTATATTAATAATTGTTACATATCATTGATGACATGTTACACATAAGGGTGTGTTTGAATGAAACCAAACCGTGGTTTGGAAAAGTGATTCTAGAGAATAGATTCTGAAAAGAATAAGGCTCCGTTTGGGTGACACCCCAAACCATGGTTTGGGGACCCAAACCATGGTTTGGGTGATAAGTCACCCAAACACCCACTGGTTTTGGGCAAACTGTGGTTTTGGACCAAAACCATGGTTTTGGCTCCAAAACCATGATTTTGAAAAAGGCAAAAATTTTTGCTTTTGGAGAAAAAAGGGAGAGTGTGAGAGCTTATAGGATATGAATCTTGTTATTTTTTTTATAAACATATTTAATCTTATATTTTAAAAATATATATACATATTAATTATTTATTAATTATATTATCTTATGTATTATTAATTATGTTAATAAAAAATATATTATTAACAATTTTATTCCTTCAAATTAGAATATATCATAAAATCTATTTTTTCTGTAATTATCATATTAATTTATGTCTTTTTTTTAGTAATTTATATATATAAAAAGTGCTTCTGATAACAACTATCCAAACTCTCTCACTTCTCAAAATCACTTTTTCATAACATTTAAAACTTGCCCCAGTAAGTTAACATGTTGAAGCTAATACTGGACCCTCGAGCTAGCTACTTGCGTCTAGCGACAGCCAATATCGACCATTTTATCTTTTGATTTTCATTCGGCCACGAGACCGGTGTTACTAAACTAACTTCTAAATACCAGATGTAGAGAAATGGGTGATCTGAAAATACTCTTTCTAAGTTCTCATGGTACAGATACGATCTGCATGATGCTGAATTGGCTAAAGGCAACGAAGCTGAATTTTGTGGGTGGGATTAATAATTAACCTCCTTCAAGCTCAAAGCTAACGCCAGTTAATCATTTGAATGAATCATAGTTTTTTCTCAAAAATTTCAGCAGAAGACCCTGGCTTCGTTGAATTTCATTCAAAATAGTTCATCCCATCAAGGCAACCCCATTAATTGTCTCATTAAAATTTAGAACGCGAGGCAGCAGGACCAAACGTACAGAATTAATGGCAGTCTTCGCAACTTAGCTTCCACACACGCGGAAAATTATTTTGTAGGCATTTATATTTTTTTTCAACTTTTAATTCGATATAGAGTAGTACTGTCTTTTCTTTTTTTAAATGAAATTCTTTAACTTAAAGCAAAATTAAACGATTTAATAAAAAAATAATGGCATATAAAGGTATCAAATATTCGAATTAAAATAGAGAGAGTATAAATATTTGTAAAATAACTTTTTCCTCTCACACACACACACATATACAATTACGGGGAACATCAAATTCACAATTCCGGACGAAATACATGAACTCGAAAACAAAATAAAATTGTCATGCCAAAAAAATAAAAAAGGTGAAATTGGCGAGAGAAGAAAAATGATGCTATAAATATAAAAGCAGCATACAACTAGAACAAGTAATGATAATAAAAGGTACTCGGCAAATGAACAATTTAGGGCTCCCATCCCAGGCCAATATTAATTGAGGGGGAAAGTGAGATGAGGAAGAATCCACTGACCCCAAACAGGCCTGGGGTGTTCATGCAAATGAAGCCTCCGTTTTCTCGCTCTTCTCGTCTCTCTCCGCTTCTCCTCACCTTATTAGCTTTCATCCTCTTCGTCTCCGTCCTCTATGCCCACAATCTCCTCTTCATCTCTCGTCAACATCCTCATCCCTCCGGCGAGTCCCACCACTTCAATTCAAGCCCCGATGTTCATCATTCTTCTCATATACCAGAAAGGGTTATAAGGCGGCGGCAGGAAGCAGTGCCGTTCGCCGTCGGGAGAACGCAGGAGGGGTGCGATGTGTTCAGTGGGAGTTGGGTGCGGGACGAGGCGGCGAGGCCGCTGTACGAGGAATCCGAGTGTCCGTACATACAGCCACAGCTGACGTGTCAGGAGCATGGGCGGCCGGAGAAGGAGTACCAGCACTGGAGATGGCAGCCCGAGGGTTGCGATCTTCCCAAGTAAGTGTCCCCATCGAACCTCTTTCCTGCTTTTTGCCTTGCCTTTTACCTTTTACTTTGCTTGCCTTCTGATTTACCGCAAGAATCATCGGTGAATCGGATTCAATTGCTTGAAAATCCATTGCCGACAACTTTCGGGAAAGTGGAAAACCGGAGGGGCCGACCGGAAATGTGCGTGCTTGGCACGTGTGAACTGATGGCCGTCCTTGTGAAGAGACAATGTGGTTGACAAGTAAAAGCCAGCTACAATAGTTAATATATTCAATATTATCATATATATGTATCGCATCAATATTTGACCCAAGTGATTTCTTAAAAAGATTTTTGTTACTGCGATCCTAATCCTAAGATGATTACAGGTTTTGAACCAAAAATGTACAGTCTTAATTTTTGGTTAAACGGGTTTCGAATGTGTATGAAATTAATGAATATATCCAATGAATTTTATCGTTCAGTATATACACATTTCATTTGGAATTTGTAGTTGTCCTCTTATGTAAGTATTTTCGTACTAGACAAAACGTATAATATTGAAGAAGCCTTTCACCATCAAATCCAAACACTACAATACATCTATATACAGAAGTTTTTTTTTCTTTGAAAAATAGTAAAGTATTACCTTTTATTTAAATTTTATATTTTAAATTTTTTAAACTAAGCAGTAGCATTGGATGTTTTAAGCACTGCAGATTTTCTTTTTTCTTTTTTTGTGGAGTTAATATCATTATTAGTTTTTATAATTTAATCACTACTAAAAACAAGGCTTTAATAGTATTTATCTATATGTTCTTTTTTTTTTTTTGAGCTAAGAAATAGCCAGATGTATGTTTTAAGCGCTACCGGCTAGCTAGTGTTTTTTTTGGCTTTAAAAAGAAAGCAGAGTTACCGTAGGATTCCTCTGGTATTGCTTCATAAGTGCCAAATTAAATACTGTTTAGAAAATGCTTCTAATTGAAAAATATAAAATGTTACTGCTGAACTTTTCTGTGAAATGCAGGGGGTGTTCATGTGACTGCCAGCACCAATAAAAATGAAATACCCTGCCCTACCCAAAAAAATGGCCCTAGAAAACATTGGGCCATTTCAAGTAGAGCCATTTGTTGGTTAGGTTGGGCATTAGGCACAATATGCTGTTCTGCTTATAAAATATATATAATTTTATTTAAAAATTATAATATGCATGCTTATGCATGCTTATTATTGTGGCATTATAGTCTTTTAGTTGACTTATTTTAATAGCTTATGGATGATTATATATATATTTTTTTCCTTGTTTAAGAATGGATATTGTGTTAAGACTGTGTTGTATACTTGTGTTTTATTATGAAATTTAGGTGAACAGATGTGAACTACTAATATTTTTATATAATTATATTTATTTTTTTAATTTTTTTTTTAAAACTCCGCCTATGTTGTATAGCCGGTCCCAAGCCCGGATAAAGGAGGAGGGTTGTGTTAGGCCCTCGACAGCCAACGTAAAAACTCGTCGAATCTCATGAACATGGATATTTATTTTTTTAATGTTACAAGTTGTGAAATTATGGAGTATATTTAATGTTTAAAATGTTATTTTTTAGTACTTGACTGAAATTTTCTTCATATATAATATTATAAGTAAAATGTCTTTGTTCGGATAGAGAAGCCTACCTTGCTCAGCTTGCTCTTGTATAGCCTAAAATAACTCAGGCTTTTGATAAACATGAGTGGGAACAGGCGGCAAAATGTAGTCCCATCATCCTTAAAAAGAGCCCTAGTGAAATGTGCCTTTGGTTGCATTGATGTGTTTAGAAAATACTAGTATATATATTACCACTATTTGATTCTTTCACGTATAAAATAATATTTATATAAAAATGAAATGCTCCTTTAGACATAAAATCGATCGCATTTAGAATTTATCAAGTATCAACGGTCTCTTGGCCCAATGGCTGCGTGGAGTGGTTGTATATGTAAGTGTGCTGGGTAGGTGTGTTTTATTGTGCTAATTTTTTTTTTTATAAAAATTTTTCATGCGACATTAAGCTTAAATGCCCATGGGCAAGTTGCCAGCTAGGCCCCTCACCCTGGTCCAAAGGAAAAGTTAGGCGTGTTCTTTGATGTGGGACCCAGTATCAGTATGCCCCAGTTGTCCTGCACTCCTGCCTAACATCACCCCTATCATCAAATCAATTTCATTGTTCAGGAGTAATTTTTAACCCACTTTTGAAAAATTCAAAGGATTAAAACGCCAGGTTGGAAATTTGATTAGGATCTTGCCTTTCGTTTAGTGACAGTTTTTAACCTTTCTTACGTGATTTCTGTTTCATGCTAGATCTAATATAATGGGAAACTGCAATTTTTTTTCCAAAGAATTGTTTTGAGGGAAGTGACGTGGTTCTAAGTTTTACCAAAGAAGCGTTTAAGGATCCATAGACCAAATTCACTATGGACCCATGTTCGAGGCAAATGCAGTGATGCGCAGATCATGTACTTATATATCAAATGTGGAATTACGTGCCGTCCGGCCAATGCCAAAAATAGCCTTGGCATTTCTTCAAAATTTCCCTATGTATCCGATCCCATGAGATTGATGTTATAACTAATTATAAACTTAGAAGTTGATATGGTTAAAATCTCGGAACTAACACAATGAATGATCAAGGGGTACAGATTCAATGCGAGCTTGATGCTGGAAACACTCCGAGGGAAGAGGATGATGTTCGTGGGAGACTCCCTGAATCGTGGTCAGTATGTCTCCATGGTCTGTCTCCTGCATCGCCTCATTCCTCCAGAAGCCAAATCCATGGAAACCTTCGGTTCCCTCACCGTCTTCACCGCCAAGGTAACTTGTTATCCATCCTTCTCCCTTCCTTTGCTTGCTTCGTGTATTGTTCAACACAATCACACATAACTGGTATAACTCTGCATTTTTATAAATGTTTGTTTTAGAACTACAACGCCACCATCGAGTTCTACTGGGCGCCGTTTCTGCTGGAGTCCAACTCTGACGATGCCGTCGTCCACAGGATAACCGACAGGATCGTCAGAAAGGGCTCCATCAACAAGCACGGGAGGAATTGGAAAGGCGCTGATATCATAGTATTCAACACCTACCTCTGGTGGATGACCGGCTCCAAGATGAAGATCCTGTGAGTTCCTTCAATTCTTTCCTTCACTAACATTCAAACTAATTACCTATCCAACCATATTCGTTCTTTCTTTTGCAAAACTGATATGTGTAACAACAAAAAGTTCAGGCTCGGATCTTTTGATGACAAAGTGAAAGACATAGCACGCATGTCAACCGATGATGCTTATCGCATGGCCATGAAGAGTATGCTCAAATGGGTGAAGCAGAACATGGACCCTAACAACACAAGAGTCTTCTTCACCAGCATGTCTCCTTCTCACACAAAGTGAGTACTGCACATGCATGCATACGTATCATCATCATGTGGTGGAAATATCAAAGTTTAATTATGTGGGCTTATTATCATGCAGGAGCGTAGAGTGGGGAGGGAGAGCGGAAGGGAACTGCTACAATGAAACGAGACCGATCGAGGATTGGACGTACGATTGGGGAGGGGAGGCAGAGAGGGGCATAATGAGAGTGATAGGACAAGTGTTTGGGAAATCCAAAGTGCCCATTACGTTCCTCAACATCACGCGGCTCTCAGGCTATCGCAAAGATGCGCACACTGCTATCTACAAGAAACAATGGAACCCTTTGACTCCTCAGCAGTTAGCTAACCCAGCTTCCTACGCTGATTGTGTTCACTGGTGCTTGCCTGGCCTCCAAGACACTTGGAATGAGCTTCTCTTTGCCAAGCTCTTTTACCCTTAAAATTCAATTCTATATTCTTTCTTAATTGATGCCACCGTGTGTCCACAGAAAATATATATATATATATATATATATATAACGATAGGTACTATTGATTTATTGAAAGAGAGGGATAATGTATAGGGAGGATGACACCCAAGTGCCGAAAGAGCAAATTAATCACGATTAGGTTCTCGGTGAAATTTTTTGAAAAATCAGTTGCGAATATTAATTCAAATGACTGCAGATTTAAGAATTCTAATTGCAAATAGGACATTTATTAAGTTTTAAATATAACTCGGCTTATAATTGGAATTCCTCCTTGCAAGTGTATGATGGGTGCGTCGAACTGAATTGGGCTCATGGCATGATTTGGGAGGTTTTTGGTTACTTCTAAAAACACTTTTTAAAAATGTTTTTATGTAAATTGACACAAAACTCCTTTCACATATTTAGTGTGTATAAGATAAAATTATTTTTAAAATAATGGTTTGATTTTCATTCAAACCTTTTTTGATCTGAAACGAAGTGTCTTTTTTTTTCCCTCCTTTTTTGGGTGTTTTCCACGGAAGGCGTTGCATAATTATTTTCGATCATTAAAAAGGTCGCTTATCCATTCTTTTATATATTTATACACACACATTACCAGGACTCGCTCATTCTTAGTCAATGAAAGTTTGGGGGAAAAAAAAAAAGCGCCGCAGCTCCTTGGAATGGGCCTAAGTGGGCTTGATGTCCGGATGGTCATGGGCCCGTGCCCCGGTACCCATTGCAAAATGCATAAAACGCCTACGTCATCAGTTACGTAAGTACTGTAGGATAAATTAAAAAAAAAAAAGGCGCAATAGGGTCCGCTCTTTTCTCCGAAAGACCAAACAGCCGATAGCTTTATCATTAGGAACGTCGCAAAGAATCCATAAATATGCCGTGGACAGTTGGCCCTTACTTCTACATGTTTATTACTAGCGCAATGGTTCTTTAATTTTCTTTCAAAGTTTGGTTGTTTTAACATCATCAGTTTTTGTTTCATGAATGAGTTTAGAGATGAGAAACACTAATTTATGTGATAATTATTAGCACAGAATGCTATTTTATGTAAGTAACAGGAATGCTTAAATATTACTATCTCTGTTTCTTAATATAACACTCATTCTGTAGTATAAAACAAAATGAATCTTATATTAAGAGTTGGAGCTAGTATATTATTGTAAGTTCATCAAAATACATAAAATATCATTATGTATTTAATAGTTCTCATTATCAATAATTATACTAATTGTTAACATGATATTCTTAAAAGCATAAAATTATTGTGATGTATGTTTTTAAATTCAAGCAACTATATGGCATTATTATCTTCCACATGCGTGCAAATGAAGATAAATACATAATCAATAATTAAATAATACTTGATATTAAAATTATAAGAATTGAGTTGTGATAAGTTATGGTTTACGATTAAAATTTAACTAAATTAAAATTATAAAAATTGAGTTACACTAAGTAAAAAATTTAAGAACTGAATTACTACAAAATCAAAACTGAAAAAAAAGATGATGAATTTTTCTAACGACTAATAACATCGGATATAGAGAGGCGTGGCAGAGGGGGAGATTTTGAAAAGCACGTGCGGTCTATAAATGACACGTCAACATCTTCCCTCCACGACGAAACGGATTCATTCTCTTCTCCTTCCTTTGTCCCCTCCCCATCATCACTTCACTTCCTTACCTTCTTTATCATTACAATATTTTTTTATTTATTTATTCTTTTTAATCCTCTCTGTGTTTTTCCCCACTTCTTCGTTCCAATAATAATAATAATAATACTTCTAATTTTTAATACAAGATTTTATCTCTCATATTTATTTTTTTAAAATGATTTTCCTAGTAGTTACACAAATTAAATGTTTCATCAAATTATAGTTCTGGTTAATATATATTATTAGTAAGATTATTTTAGAAACAATAATATATATTTATTATAAATAACTAATTTAACAAATTTATTTAATCTATTCAAATTAATTAACTAGCTTTTATACTAATATTAAGTAGCGGAGAAAGTAATATAATTCCGGTTTCCTTTCTCGTGAAAATGGCACATTATGTCGGCGCATGCATATCAACCCCACCGATGGGTGGATTTCAAATGAACAAATCTCATTTTCATCAATTCAAATTGGCTTGTGCTTGCTGAGTCCAGCATCACACTTACAAATAATTTCTTAATTGCTGCTAAATAAAAATCTCACCGCCTGCAACTCTTTATTTACACACACACACACACACACAAGTGCTTTTGGGATGTGGCTGACAATGAACGCCACCACAAATATATATAGGTTCCTTCCATGGACACACACATTAACGTATTTTATTTTTATCTTCTATGTATTGTTTTTGCTTCGGCACGTACGTTCAGGTTTTATTTATCACACACACACACACACAAAACAAAATGAAAACATATTCAAAGATCTTTCTTTGCATATACATGTTTAGATAGTTTAGTGATATTTTTCCCTCTTCAATCTCATCGCTTTTGTGCTGTGCCCTTTCTGCCTTATTCAGAACCCGGAACTTCCGCAAACAATCTCGAACCAGCTATGTACTTACTAAATGAAAACACACACACACACACACAAACATGTATTTTTTATTTAAAAAAAAACTAGTTTATATATATAGGGATTAGAGGGTTAAAGAAGGAATTAAAAAAAGGGAGGGTAACAAAATTTGATGAAGACGAGGGGTCAACCCTAAGCTGTCTTAATAGTAACGTCACTTGCCTTGCTTGGATAAGGTTTCGGGTTTGAAGCTGGCTTGTGTGTATTTAAACTGCTTGTTATAAGATTAAAAAAACAAAAAAGAGGAAGAAAAGGGTTTTAATGTGGTGGCTTTTTTTTTTTTTTTAATTGTAAGCACAGATTAAAGGAACATGGATATGGACGCTAGGCTCTCCTGATTGCCCACTTGCACCCCAACTTGCATTTCTTATATCCCTGTTACAACCACTACTAGAAAAAAGACCTTTAACGTCGCAAACTAACGGCGGTTCAGCAGAAAAACGAAGTGGAAAAAAACGCGGTGGCATTTTTGTAAATAAGTTGAAAGGTTTATTATTTCCACGGCGGTTTTGAATAAAACCGCCGTGGAAAGTATTTTCCACGGCGGTTCTTTAAAGAACCGCCGTGGAAAATATTTTTAACGGCGGTTCTTTAAAGAACCGCCGTTAAAAACACTTTCCACGGCGGTTTTATTCAAAACCGCCGTGGAAAGTGTGTTCTTCTATCGCCGAAACCCGCTCGACTCCTCCACTTTCTTTCTCATTTCTTCAGTGCGCCGTGGTCCCCCTCTGCCCCACCACCGTGAAACTGCCATTACCGGCCATTCCCGCCTCTAGCCCACCGTTTAAACTCCTCCATTGAGCCCTTGGAGCCTTGCCGCCGTGCGCCGCACTCCGCCGTGGTCGACCGCGCCTCCCATTCCGTCCGCCGCCGTCCGCCACTGAAATCCGGTCCTACCCTCCACTATCTAACCGAAGACCGGTCCGTTGCCGCCGTCCGCCGCCGTCCGCCGCCGCCTCACTTCGCGTTTGAAGCTTCTCTGCTCTGTGAGTATCCTCTTCTTTCATTCTTTTCAATTTTTCTTGGTTTGTTGAATGTTTTAGCCATGAAAATCTGTTATATATGAAATGGGTTGTTAGTTTTACATTGTGGTTAGCTTCTATTGTTCATTTTGCATTTTTATGTGGTTGAACCGTTGATTGGTGTTAATTGGTAGGCATTAGATGTGAGAAAACCTTAATTCCTTTTTACATACTGTATTAGAAATATGTTAAAATGTTTGGAGTTGATTAATTGTGAAGTTTTTAATTTTTTTTATAATTTTTTGATATTTATTTCGAATTTTTGATAATTTTTTGTAATAAATATAAGAATTTAGTGATAAATAATCTGTTAGTTATTTTGTGTTTTTTTCCTTCGTTATGAATTTTGATTGATAGTAAAGTATTGTTTAAATAATCTGTAGAACAATGGATCGTAGTTGGATGAAAGCTAGGAGAATTAGCAAGGAATATGAGGATGGGGTTGAAAAATTTCTTGAGTTTGCTCAGAGAAATGCCCCTAGTAAAGGAGATGGATTGTACTATTGTCCTTGTGTCAAATGTTTAAACAATAGTCGACGGAGTATTTCTGAGATAAAAGAGCATCTTATCTGTAATGGGATAAATTTGAGGTATACAAATTGGATATGGCATGGAGAAATTAGAAAGACTACACTGTCTGCAAATGAGAAGGTTGTTAATGAAGACTTTGGTGATAGAATTTCGGATATGTTTCGTGATATAAGGTCTGAATCCTCTACACAGTTTTCTTCCACCTTTGAAACTTTGTGTAGTGATGCAGAGACACCTTTATACCCGGGGTGCAAAGATGATTACACAAGATTGACAACCGTATTGAAACTGATGAATTTGAAGGCAAGAAATGGTTGGACCGATGCTAGTTTTACGGAATTGCTTGAATTGCTGAGTGATATTCTTCCCAAAGGGAATTCACTTCCGAAACGAATGTATGAGGCAAAAAAGATTTTGTGTCCGATGGGTTTGGAATATGAGAAGATACATGCGTGTCCTAATGACTGCATATTATTCAGAAATGATTATGAAGAGTTGAATAAGTGCCCTAAATGTGGGACTTCAAGATACAAAATGAAGAAAGATGATGGTGATTATAATGAGATGACCAAAGGTTCTCCTTTAAAGGTTCTGTGGTATCTTCCAATAATACCACGATTTAAGCGTCTATTTGCTAATGCCACAGATGCAAAGAACTTGAGATGGCATTTTGATGAGAAAATATGTGATGGAAAGCTTCGTCACCCAGCAGATTCTCTTCAATGGAAAACAATAGATCAAAAATTTCCTCAATTTGGTAGCGAGCCAAGAAACCTTCGGCTAGGGCTTTGTACGGATGGAATTAACCCATATGGTAATCTTAGTAGCACACACAGTGCTTGGCCAGTGCTCCTCGTAATTTACAACTTGCCTCCTTGGTTATGTATGAAAAGAAAGTATATCATGCTATCTTTGATGATCTCGGGGCCAAAACAACCGGGAAACGATATTGATGTGTATTTGGCACCTTTGATTGAGGATCTGAAGAAATTATGGGAGGAAGGTGTTGATGTGTTTGATGCATATAAACAAGAGACCTTCAATTTACGTGCCATGATCTTCACCACGATAAATGACTTTCCAGCAT